TGTAGGTTGTCTTTTTACTCTTTTGGTGAAGTCTTTTGATGAGCATAAGTGTTTGATTTTTAGGAGCTCCCATTTATCTAGTCTCTCTTCTGGTGCTTGTGCATTGTTACTTATGGTTCGTATTTCCCCTATATCTTATAATAAATATCTTCACTTTTATATCAAGAGAAATATTTATACCTACCTACCTCTTTGGTGAGGCTACAGTAGAGTCGGTAAACAATAATGGATGAAGGATTCAAAGGGAGAAAACTGCAGTTCCTCAGGAGTATCCTTTGTTTTTTAGCTCCCAAAGATTTCATCCTCTTCAGAGGTGGCATTCTTCACTGTCCAGATAAAAAGACCAACACAAGATTTCAGGAAGAGGAAAACAGTGCTGGTAAAAGAATGCTCAAAACTGGTCTTTGTCCAGACAGACAAACCCATCTATAAACCAGGACAGACAGGTATGTAGAAAAATTCTCTGGTTGGGGCCACCTCCTCAACTGGTTTTCCACCCCAAATCACCATTTTCCTGATACCTTAGCCTCTAATCTCGTTACCCAAATTGCCTGCTTCATCATGCCTGAGTCTTATGGCAGAAATTCTTTTTCAGTAAAATTTCGTGTTATCTCTGTGGATGAAAATTTTCTTCTCCTAAATGAACTAGCCCCACATGTCTGTCAGTTTGTTGTACTGTGGTGGCCTGTGTGTTGCTGTGATGCTTGAAGCTACACCATCAGTATTTCAAATATCAGCAGGGTCACCCATGGTGGACAGGTTTCAGAATAGCTTCCAGACTGAGACAGACTAGGAAGAAGGACCTGGCAGTCTACCTCTGAAAAAATTGGCCAGTTAAAACCTGTTCTGTCATTCATAGTGTCGCTATAAATAGGAATCTACTCGAGGGCACCTAAGATCAACAAACGAACTGGTAAGCATCTCAACATCTGTGGTTTGGATAGGGAAAGGGGGATATTCACCCAGAGTAGGGTGGAGAGGTCCAGGAAAAGCAAGAAAATGAAAGACATTCCTTTTGGAACCTGGCATCAAAAGCATACCCCTCTAGTCTCACCACAGATCTAGATTCTTATACAAAGCATAATTGAGGAGCAAGAGATGAGGCACTACTTTTCTCTTATAACAGTAGTTAATCAGTCTGGCAATAGTCAGTTACATTTATTGCTCTGAACATACTATATTAAGAATATTGAAAAGAGAAAACAACAGCGTCCATACTCTCAAAGAGTATATAAAGTACCAAAGATTTTTATTTATTCTGATTATATATGTAGAACAGAATAGAAGTTTATTATATTATTATAATTTATTTAGCAAATGTATTATAGAATATATTTTTATATATAATAGATTAGTTTATGCTAATCAGGTGTCCCCTTCCTCAAATTAGCTTTCAATGTTAAGGCAAAAGAATTGCTCAAAGCTGAGCAATTGTAAAATAATTATTTTGAAGGCTGCCAGAAAATAGACTTGGGAACTAAATCTATCCAAATGTTATGCTGTCCAATGTCATTTAGGTAGCCTTCAATAAACAGCAAGGTTGGAGAAGTACACAATCAAACGTGTCAGGTTACATAAATAGTGTTTGATTTGGTAATCATGTTTCTTAAATGTGTTCTTTTATGGGATAGTATAATAGTGAGGGTAGCTCAAGGAGCAAACTAAATCACTTTCAAATGTTTCTATTTAAGGTACAGACATGTGTGATGTGGCCATAGATTGATAAGGAAAAGAGGTACCATTTAGCGCCTTTTATTTCCCTAACTCAGTCCCCAATATACAATCTAGTACACAAAGACATACACACACACTTTTGAGGGTGGATTCAGTTATTGACATTAGCTTTACACATATTGATTCTCACTCGAGAAAAAAATGCATTCACATGCTTAATTTCTGTTCATTGCATTGTCATCCTCCCTAGCTCATCAGGTGTGGCTGAAATAGGAGTAACAGTGCCTGACACCATCACCGTGTGGAAGGTGGGAGCCCTCTGCCTGTCCAATGACACTGGACTTGGTCTCTCTCTTCCTGCCACTCTCCAAGCCTTCCAGCCGCTCTTTGCGGAGCTCACAATGCCCTACTCTATGGTCCACAGCCACTGTTTTAAACTACCTTCCCAAATGCATCTGGGTAAGGAAAATGAGAGTGAACTGAAAGAGTGGATGGAATAAAAGACTCCATTGGCTAGTCAGCTCCTGATTCTGTTCCTGAAACTATGGGTAATTCTGGGAATCATGTGTTAGCACTACAAATAAATAGTGCTAAGCAAGGCAGGACGTGATCTGAGAGATAACACAATGATACATAAGCCGCAGCTGCTGAAACCATGGCTCTCCAAACCATAGATCAGTTTTTGTTTTTTTTTTTTAATTTCCTGAAGTTTGCAGAATCCTTTTCCACAAGTTAGACTTTGTGCCAGGAAGATCCTTGATGCTGACACAAAGCTCAATTTTCTCAATTCCATGAGTGCCATTCTTTAACCCTCATCTCTAAACTCCCACAACATGTAGTTTTAACTTCTCTTGTAGCACTTATCTCTTTGTAAATTATTTAACACTTTGTTGTATAGATTCTGTCCTTTGTAACATACAATAGCCTCAATGTCAGGAGCCCTTATATATCATTCATAATTTGTTATACCTTGTATAGAGTAGACATATGCTGTATGTTGCAGAAAGTGGAAGAAGGAAGGAAGGAAACAAGTCAAGAAGAAAATCTACATAGGAACCAGTATGTAGTGCTCCCAGGGTCATTATACCATTGATGCTTTTCACTCCCTTCCACTGCTGCTACATCTGCTGATTTTTCCAATTTGCCCCAGTGCAAATGCAAGATCCTCCTAGTAGATAATCAGTCTTGATTTGTATCATTGCCATTCTCGTGCTTCTCAAAGCTTGTATGAACTTCTGCCTCATACATTTTTTTCCAAAATCCCAATTCACTGCAGCATCTCACACTTGGCCCTAATTCCATGTATTCATTGTCTTCCTATATTCTGATCATTTTAATTTCTGTTCATTGCGTTGTCATCCTCCGTAGCTCATCAGGTGTAGCTGAAATAGGAGTAACAGTGCCTGACACCATCACCGTGTGGAAGGTGGGAGCCCTCTGCCTGTCCAATGACACCGGACTTGGTCTCTCTCTTCCTGCCACTCTCCCAGCCTTCCAGCCGCTCTTTGTTCCTTTATGGGTGATAGATCAACGTGCAGGTGAAAGCTTCTCCAGCCTCCCTAGCTTCCCAAAGCGCAAAGGGAAAAGATTCCTACTGCGTTTGTCGAAATGAGCAGCAAACCTTGTCTTGGACAGTAACTCCTAAAACTCTGGGTGAGTGACAGTCCCCGAAAAGATCTACCAATCAGAAGAGTGGTGGATATCCGAATAGGCCTTGCAACATATTCTCCTTTTTGCGTCCCATAAATATAATCATATAAAGTTTATTTCTTTTCTTCTTTTGATTTTTATCCACAGTGACTCTCTCCCATAACCTCAACTCCACCTGGGCCCCATAATTACTATTCTTGGACGCTGGTTACTCAGTGTACATTAGCCTTGTATTTTTCAGCTGTATTTCCTATTCCAGCCCGTTTTAAGGTTAAAGTGCAGCCCCATAAAGTGATTACATAGCTTATATTCATTTTCAGCTATTAAGGAAGACTTAGACTACTATCAAGTTGAATATTCATTTTTTTCTAGGTTCTTTGTTTCAGGAAATGTGAACTCCTCTGTGACTGCAGAGGCAGTCCAGTCCCTAGAGCTGTGTGGAAATAAGGCTGCTGAGGTCCCTGAGGTTGGGAGGAAAGACAGAGTCCACCCTGTGGGTGGAGATAAGTCAGTGTGGCCCATTTGATATGTTTCTCTGAGTCCCTAACAATAATAACAATAAAAAATACTGGGGTCATTCTTGAGATAACAAGGGAAAAATTAATAGCATACTCATACAATCCATCCCATAACTAATAGAATTTCCTATCCCAAAAGTATGGCAGGAAACATTGCTCATTTGTTGTAAACAATTCTTCCATAAATTATGTGAGAAATATTCCCTTTTCTTGATGTCCACCTCTCTCGTAAGATTCAGGTATTTCTCACACCTCTTACCTTTGATTCCCTGCACTTATTGTCCCTTCTCATTTTCTCCTCTGCAAATCTCCCTGGTTCTTCCATGCTTTATGGATTTATAATAATTTAATAATAAATTGGATGTTAAGCATCATTTAGTGTAAACCTCACCCTTCAAAAGACGGATTCTATGGTTGTCCTCCCATCATATGAATGTTTATCCTTTTCTCCTTTTCTTTCTTTTTACCTAAGCCTGAAGGCATTGATCAAGAGAAGACTTTCAACTCCATGGCCTCGGCTTCAGGTAAGAATCCATCCTTATAATCATAATGAGAGCAATGCCTCACAGGTGTATATACTTGAAGTTGCAGTGAATGTCCATACGTATTATCTCCCATAATTTTTAGAATGTTTCATTAAAGTTGACATAATACTAAGTATTTCTTTATACATATTTTACAGATAAGGACACCGAGCCTAAGAGAGCAGGTTAATGTGGCTCAGGTGGTATAGACAAGACTGGTACTTTCTTGGTTCACATTGAGCCCTTTACCTCCATAGCCCAGTGGCTTCTCATTAAAGAGCCTGGCTTTAAGAGTTTAGAGTGTCCCTGGCCAAGGCAAAAAGACAACAGAGTCTTAATAAGTTTGAATCAAAGAAGATTCTTGAAAATAATTGATAATGAAACATATAGCACTCTATCCCTATCTCACTAAGGCACTAATTTTTTCATGGCAAAACACACACACACACACACACACACACACACACAAATGTTTGGACTTCATCATAGCATTAAGAAACATTCGTAGCATTTAAACAGTATTGCCACATTAGTACTAGGTCTATGTCCATAGTCTGTACGACATTGTACTTGCCAATTTAAGATATATTCATGGTATCTGTTCATAAACATGAGAGTTCATTCAAATGTTGTATAGAATAAGGGAGGAAGTTAAATATCTTATTATGGATGTAAGAAGTTTAAATGATGTTATAATTAAATCCGAGAGCTAGAGGTCCCTAGCCTTCTTTTGGAGAGCTACGGTGCACAGCAACACACAACATGGTTAAGAGAGAGGGGGAAGGGCTCTGGTTCAAATAGTGCAAGAAGAGCTGGAATATGAAAAGCTAATTTCATCACTAAGTCAAAATTCTTATTCCTTGGACCCAGGGTTCCTCAATGAGACATAATAATACTACTGTCAACTCTAACAACAACAATAATGATAATAACTGCTCACATTTATTGACATTTAATACACTGCAGATACTGTTCTGAATGTTTTCTATGTATTATTTCATTAAAGCATCAGAAGAAGCACAAATTAGATCATGAGGAGGTTAAGTAATTTACCCCAGGTCACGTAGCTAGTAGGTGACAGAGTCAGCTCCATAGCCAGGCAGTGTGACTCTGGAGCCCCCCACTCCTAATAACTACATTATATTGCCATCACAGGTTAAGTGTCTTCCTCTGATACAGGCTGTCTGTTTCCAAAAGTACTGAAGTATCTGAGCAACTATCCTTGAAGCTCCCACCAAATGTGGTGAAAGAATCTGCCAGAGCCTCTTTGTCAGTTTTGGGTGAGTCACTTTGTACTTAGGAATCTTGGGACAAAAGTGCTGCCACTATATATCTTATCTATACACTTGTATTCTAATTATCAACCTATTTATAGTGTCTATTTCTTTTCTGGAAGGCTCGCTTTTTGTAAATATAATTTTTCATTTGCCTAAATGATAGTTTGGCATGTGGCTTTAAATATGATGGTCATTTGTCTTTGATAATGTTGGCTACTTATGAATTGAAATTACTCTGACATCTAATCTTTCATATTTCCCAGGTGACAATGTAAAATGTCTGCTATACAAAATATACAAAAGCTCCTCCGGATGCCCTATGGCTGTGGAGAACAGAATATGGTCCTGTTTGTTCCTAACATCTGTGTCCTGAACTATCTGAATGAAACTCAACAGCTGACTCAGGCCATTGACTATCACATCAATGGTAAGTAAGGCTGAGAAATTTTTACTTTGCTGCTCTAGTGAGATATTTCCCAATTAGGCTTGAGTTATGTCAATAGATAGTAAGCCAATAATGATAATTTTATGGCAACAATAATATTCCCACCCTCTAATAGGATGTTTTGGTTTGACATATCCATAATATCCACAAAACCATGGTGGATCCTGCACAAAGAAGACCACAGAATGTCGATGGTCCCAGGGTGCATTAACCTGTACATACGAGAATCTTGCCTTTCCCTAACGCTTCATGAATCAGTTGAAACCTTTTGCTGTTCCAGGTTACCAGAGACAGCTGAACTATAAGCACCACGAGGGCTCCTACAGCACCTTTGAGGAGCGACGTGGCAGGAACCAAGGCAATACTTGGTAAGAAAAGAAATCTGTTCTGAGTTTCAACTATGAGTTCAAGGCATATACATATATTACCATTTTTAATTCTTACAACAAACATATGAAGTGAGACTTATTAGCTTCAATTTACAAAGAAGGAAAGTGACATTCAATGTGGATAAATAAATGTCTCTGGTATGTTGTTGTTGTTTTTGTTAGGTGCCATTGAGTTAGTTCCAACTCATAGCAAACCTATGTACTACAGAATGAAACTCTGCCCCATCCTGCGCCATGCTCACAATCATTATGCTTGAGCCCATTGTTACAGCCACTGTGTGAGTCCATCTTGCTGAGGGTCTTCCTCTTTTACACTGACCCTCTACTTTAGCAAGCATGATGTCCCTCTCCAGGGACTGGTCCCTCCTGACAACATATCCAAAGAATGTAAGACTTAGTCTCTCCATCCTTGCTTCTAAGGAGAATTCTGGTTGTACTTCTTCCAAGACAGATTTGTTCGTTCTTTTGCCAGTATATTCAATATTCTTCACCAACACCACAACTCACAGGCATCAATTCTTCTTCAGTCTTCCTTATTCATTGT